AATAGAAGAGCATTGCCATGTGCTAGGTGTACAGAAGGGATGCCCCCTGACTCTCACACTGATAGAGGAGTCTGCATTAAGGTGAAGGCGTGCCCTCATTTTTTAATAGGATGGTGTGCCACTGGAAAGATGTTAGTTTTCACAAAACATCATATTTATAGTGATTCCAATCCTTTAAAAAAAAAATTTAAGCTGGGCATTAGTGGTGCACACCTTTAATCCTAGCACTAGGGAGGCAGGCAGATCTCTGTGAGTTCAAGGCCAGCCTGGTCTACAGAGTGAGTTCTAGGACAGGCTCCAAAGCTACACAGAGAAACCCTGTCTTGAAAAAAATTTTCAAATTTTCTTTTTCTTCTCTCTCTCTCTCTCTCTCTCTCTCTCTCTCTCTCTCTCTTTCTCTCTCTCTCTCTCACTCACTCTCTAGTGTATGTGTGTGCTTCCCTCCACATGTGCATGTTGGAGACCAGGAGTGAGACCCCATATTTAAAAAATAAATAAAAAGTAAAATGAGGGCTGGTAGTGGAGCTTAGCAGTACAATCTTACCTATCAAGTTCAAGGTACTGGGTCAAGCCCCAGTACCAAAAAAAAAAAAAAATTAATTTAATTAAAGGAAATAAAATGTGCTCAGTCTTAAATGGAGTTTTGGTATTTTGAGCTAACACGCATTGACTGTGAGCTCCCCGGTAACGCTGACAGATTGGTGTGTTTATCCTGACCCACAGCTGAGGCCCGAGGCTCAGAGGTTTAGTGATCTTTGGGGGTTGAGCAGTGAGCTCTGACTGGATGGCTCTCTGCTCAGTCAGCCCACACACTAACTGCATGGCTGCTGCTTCCCTGCAGTACAGGAAGGACAAGCCTGTGGGCTGCTGCTGCATGAGATGTCCCTGCCCTGGGTCTGTGCTCTTGTAAGGCAAAGTTCAGTTTCCACTGGGCCTTTCTGGGTTCAGTCCACCTTCTCCTGACGCATCTCCCAGGCTTTTCTGGAAAGTACCTAGGCCAGCAGTCCTTGTGGGTGGCTAAGTGCTCACTCTGGAGGGCTCAAATCACAGCGAACTCAGTATAGACACCTGCTTTCCTCCTGCAGGGATGAAGCCCTGGAGATAACAGGCCTCCTGGTAAGTTCCTCATGATCAAAACGGCTGCCCAGAAGCTGCTCATTCATGCCAACGTCAGGCTGTAGGCAGAAGGGGGTCAGCCGGCTGCTTGAGCTCGCCTGGCCTGTAGGTGACTTCCAAATGGTGGTGGTGTGTTGTAGGGGGTTAGAGCCACTCTCCTGGGCCTCATGTTCTAGCAAAACAGCACACATGCTATGTCTGTGGGGACAGATGTTTCTGCAAGGCCGTTTACCTTTGGGAAGCTCTGTTTAAATAAATGCAAACTGCCTTTCATGTCAAGAATCTCAAAGACTTTTCAACGAGTAATTAGTGAATTTTAACCGTAAAATCCTTGCTCCATAAAAAGCAAGAGTTACTATTTTAATTTTATAAATGGATCAAAGGTCATGCAATCAATGCAGATGTGGGAAACAGATGTAAGAATTCTGCTTTTGTCTCAGCTGCCGCCACCTCAAACCGGCTCTAGCATTGCTCACAGGACCTTCTCTGCTCTCTGACTTCTGGCCAAAGATGTAGGACTGGCCTTTATGTTTCCTCTTAAAGGCTGGAATTCTATGTACAGCTCACATGCTTTGATATATCTGGAATTTAGAAAAGAAAGGCAGAAGAATGATATTTGATGCTTTTCAGAGTCCACATTGGAACCAAGCCTTCATTGTGGGTCAAATGCCAATAAAAGGAAAGAAAAAGAAAAAAGGGGGAAAAACTCGGTCACCACATCTTTAGGAGGATCACTTTTATTCTGTCTCTGAAAGAACTTTCTGTTAAAATTAACGACAGTGTACCTTTAGTGACCAAAATGACTGTTGTGGGGCCACTGAAAGTCACCATTTATTGATAGCTAAGTGTTAAGTGTTAAGTACTTCATTTTTACATATCTCGTATATTATCACAAACACGCAGGAGATATTTATTATTTATTCTTCTTGCAGAGCTATAACGGGGCTCAGAGACAGAAGATGACCTGAGAAGAATGAGGTGGAAAAAATGGAAAGAGAAACACAAAGGAACTTAAAAACCACTGGATGCATGCTCTGTGATCAAAGCACTGTGTTTCAGTGGGCATTGGGGACACAAAGAAATAAAATATCACCAGATTCCTGCTCTCAAGCAACTGAGGGGAAAAGCTAGAGGAAGGAGAGAAAACACATTAATAATAATAATAATATGTCAATTATCAACACATTTCAGTCAGAAGTATTTATTGACTTCCCTGTATGTATTAATATTGCACTTATTACAAGAGATAGTCCCTCTTCTCATAGACTCATTGTCTAACAGAAAAATCAGACATTCATCCAATAATTGCATCAACTTAAAACTGCAATTGAATGGAATAAAAGATACTGGATGGGCCACAGACTGACAAAGGATTAGTACCCAGAATATATAAAGAACTCCTACACATACTAAGACATGATCAATACTGCACTGTCAAATAAACCAATGGCCAATTTTAAAAAAAGAAGAAAGGCAAATGGCCAATAAACAGAAAGTATGCTCCGATCTCTATCACTTGTAAACAGGGAATTGCAAATTAAAACATTGAAATGCCACTTCACACCATCGGCTTGGCAACATCTTTAAAGTTTGACATTAGCAAGTGTTGAGGATGTGGAACATGGGGGAACTCTCACATAGCGCATGGAACTGTGAATTAGTACAACCACTTTGAAAGCCCATTGAACCGTTCCCAATAATGCTGCCAGTTTCTATGTCCTGAGCCCAGCAATTCCACACCCAACTATCTACCCGAAGTCTGCTTTCACTCCAGGGAATGGGATTTTTTTTAAAAAGCTATTATAGCATTGTTTCTAACAGAAAATAAAGTGAAAATGAGCTAAATATCTTCCAGAAGGAGACTGGGAAAATAAAGTGTGCTGACTTCATAAAATGGGCCCCTCGTGGGCAGTGAAAAAGGAAGATCTAGAAATACATACATTAATGTGGGTTCATGTTGCCTAGTCAAAAAAAAGCAAGTTACACAATCATCAGTCTAATAGCATCTCTTCAACGTTTAAAATCATTTCAGATGACTCTTTTGAAGTGCCTACAGGCACCAAGATACGGAGTAAAACCGCCAAAGCATGCGTGGGAATGAAGCACCAAAACACTAACGTGATTCTGTAGGGAAGCGACAGAAATTGGTTCTGAGGACTCCATGCAGATCCAAAGGGTTTGTCTCCTTTTAAGAAACTGGATTGAACAGGAAAATGTTACGTTTTAACAAAGAAAAGAAAACATGTGGTATAAACAAGTAGTTTTTGTAAGCTTTTTATAAATGTAGTTTTGTAAGCTTTAGATTTCTTTTTAATTGGCCTTTGACCTATCAAAGTAGTATTGAATGAGTCGAGGTTGGGGTGGGGTGGGGAGAAGGCGTGTGTGTGTGTGTGTGTGTGTGTGTGTGTGTGTGTGTGTGTGTGTGTGAATGGGGGGGGTGTTCCTTAGGATGGGGGAGGGGGATGAGGAAAAGAGAATGGGTGGAAGGGTGTTCCATGTGAAAGAACCCAGCTATGGAAAGAAAGGAGTGGAATGGGGGGCGGGGCACAGACATTTGGCCACCTAGAAAGGTCGTGTGTCTCCTCTGAGCTTGACAAAATCGGGGCCCAAAAACATTTCCGGATAGTAGGACAGGAGGAGGGGACATCCTTGAAGCGGAAACTCTTGAGTTCAGGAGAATAAGAGGAAGGTAATCGGAGGTGGGGTAAGTACTGAACACCTTAAATAGCGCGACCCAGGCAGCGTCTAAACTGGGACTAGCTTATGAGGCGTTAGAAAATGGCAGACCTGCGTGCTCAAGAAAATCGGGAGTGCCTGGAGCACCAGGCCGCCCTGCAGAAGCTGCAAGGCTGGGGCTAACTGGGGTGTAGGGAGCTCACGGCCGGTCGGAAAAAGGATCTGAACGAGGCAGGACAGACTCGGTAGATCTTGGAGAGAAACATGTTAATAGCCAACCGAGTGAGGGTACTTTACAAGGTCACAGACAACGCGGCTTAGGCTGGAGTAGCCAGTGCTGGGGAAAGCATCCAGGACGCATCTCGAGTGATCGGGTGGGTGGTGTCACCTTCACTGCGATGGAGAGTAACGGGGACAAGATGCGGCGAGTTGGAGACGCGTGCATGGCAAGCTAAGTGGACCTGCGGGGCGTGCTCCCGGCGCTGCGGGCAAGTGGGAGGAGCCAGAAACCGAGGAGGAGTCGGTCACAACAAACGCAGAGGGAGCAGAAACTGAGCTGGGGCCTTGCGGGGTGATGAGGAATGGGTTTCTGGAGGATGGAGGACCGAGAAAGGGGGGATCAAGAAGATGCAGAGCAGTCTCCAAGAGGCTAGCGGTGCGCTAGGCTGGGCGGGGCGGGAACACCCGCGCTGAGGTTGGCATCTCCAGCCCCGGGTGCGCCCCTCAGCGGCAGGCGCGGGGCTGTTGACCAAGGCAGGCTCTTCCCTGCCGCCTCGAAAAGTCGGGCACCAAAGCAGCTGGAGTTCGGCTCTGGGTACCACCCGGCCATTCCTCCACGGCAGGCGCCCATCGAGCGCAGGCCGCGCCTCCGGGGCCCGAGGGCCTGGCGACGTCACCGCGGCTCTGACGCGCGCTAACCCCGGCGCGGGCTTCCTCCCGGCAGGTCTGGGTCCCTGCCGCCCGCCACCGCATCCTTGGCTCTCCTCCCAGGGAACCTAGATTTTGCTAATTCGGGAAGGCTCTTAGTTCTTCAGCTATTGATAAGGACTTGAGCTAATAGTTTATGTATAAAATAATAATAATAAAGATTTTTAACAATGCCGGGAAAGAAATAGCCAGACCCGAGAAACAGACTAATAATAACCAGCCAGCTAGAGCTCTGCTCCTGTGCTCAGCACTCTTAAGGACAATAATGACGACAACAGCCATAATAGCCACAGTTTATTGAGCGCTTACTCTGCCAAGGCAGTGTTAAGCGCTTTGCAGGCAACAACCCTCGGAGGTAAGTACCGTTATGATCCCCATTTTGCAGGAAACCAGGGCAGAGAGGTTAAGTAACCTGCCCCAGGGCACACAGCTAGCTAATGCCAAAGCCAGAATCCCAACCTAGGCTGTCTATTCTCGTGTAATCCTCAAGCCAACCCGTTAAGGTCGGGAGCGTTCTCTCCATCTTAAAGATGAGGAAAACAAGGCACATGGAAATTTAAGTACCTTGCCCAAGGTCACCTAGCTGGATGAGGCAGAAAGCGAACCCAGGGCTCCTCTCTGTCCGCAGAACCCTCTCGGTCTTGGCCATAGGCGATGCCACTTCCAAACCACCTCCGACCGCCCCGCAGGCTTCTGCCCGGGTTTCCGGGAGGCAAAAGCAGCCCCAGGTGGGTTTGGGTAGGTTCCTGCAGCCTCCGCTCTGCTGATGAACCGGGTGTTTTAGAGCAGCGTCCTTCCTCCTGCCTTCAGGCGTAGGATGGGGACGCCTCTTCTGGAATCCAGTCCCAGACCCGGCTGCGCGATCACGAGAAGGGACGGAGCGGGGGCGGAGGCAGCAGAAGGGATCCGGAGTCCCATTTGACCAGCCGCGGGGCCAGGCTCCAGATTTGCGCCCCCGCTGCCGGCAGAGGGCGCTGCCGCACGCGCATGGAGTTTCACTGCCGTCAGCTCTGCCTACAGACACCTTGCAGCGGCTTTCCTTTTTCAGGTGAATCCCTCCCACCCCCGGATCTTACTTAGACCTTCTTCTTTAAACTGAGCCATTGCCATCCCTTCAAGGCTTCCCAAGTCCCAACCGGTTCGCTCTTGTTCTGTTAAGGCGCAAGGACCGGGCTTCCATTCGGTTAAAAGGCCTAGGTATTTGCAAATTCAGCTCGGTCTGGCCTCCCCTTCTGGTGAGCTCACGAGTGATTTAAAATGGAGGTAGATCCTCCACTTGAAATAGATAACGAATTTTCTTTCCGTTCCAAAACGGGAGATGGAAACTAGAGAGGGAGCCGACAGATGAACCGGTCTATTTTCATAATAGCCACCTCCTATTGGTCGCTCCTTTTGCTCCAGGCCCTTTTTAGACCTTGACTCACTATGGTCTGAACATCGTGAATGATTCCCATTTGATGTAAAGTCAGAAAACTAATAAATAATGAGATCAGGATTTGATCTAGGAACTCGACCCTTAAAGCCACATTCCCAAAACCCAAAAGTGGATACAATTGATCCAAAGGGGTAGGACACAATTGACCCAAATCTAGAGTGCTTAGAAAGACCCTACAGGAGAATAAAACCCATGGCAGTCCACTGGAGGCTTTTTGCTTCAGTTTGGAAGAGCAGCCAATGAGGCTCGCTCACTTTCTATGTCTGGGCTCTGAGGAAATAAAGGTAAATCTAGGGAAGTCTGAAAAACACCGGAGGGAAGGGGAAAACCCTTCCTGTGGTTTTTACTTTAAATCAACCCCCCTTTTGCTATGTGTGCTATATTTTTAAATTAACGTGGCTCTCCCCACCCTTGAAGTTGGCACACAGAGAGCAAAACAGAAGGGAAGCCAGCTAGCAGCTTTAAATGTGGTTCTCGGGAAGGAGGGACCTGACTTAAAAAGGAAATGAGAATTAAATGAGGTGTTCTGAGTGTCTCAAAGACAGACTTTCCACGAGGAATTTCAATCATGGCTCTTAGAACAGGAGCTTTGTCTGGGTCTGGGCTGGCCTAGTGTCTGATGGGCGTGCTCCGATGAAGAGACTGAATCACCCTTTTCGAATATGCCTGCATCTCTGACCATCCGGGTGTAAGATATAGCTTACAGGGGATTTTTTCCCCCTGCCCCCTGGATCTGTAACTCAGGCCTCTTACTTTTCCAGAAGTTTGTTTGGGAAATTCAATCCAGGTGAGGCTACCAACGATCACATCCCGAGGTGTGGCTGTGTAGAATGATTGCTGGACGATAGCATTACCAGCTGGTGGCTTTTCCAGACAGGGAAACCAGTGTAGAAAGGATCTCATCAGACTGGTCACTTAATAGCTGTCTCTATTGCAATGTATCTTTAAGCCAGAAGAATTAGCCCTCTTCACCCAGCACAAGAGGCCTCAGGTGGTCCTCAGCTGTCTCCTGCAAAATAGTAGGCTTCTTCGTCCTTCTGTCCTTCCGGGTACAGCCTTTCCTTCCGTCAGAGCACTCACTCCACAGATCTGGGATGACAGCCTGCAACATACTGATGCTGGGGGTATGGCAAAGACCCCAGCATGAGCCCAAGGCTCACCGCTCCAGCTTTCCTGCCTGGTTCCAGGATATTAATCGCTTGCTCCTCTTGCTGGCTGTGACTCCCATTCCTTTGGCTCATAAGAGTGCCGCTACTCAGACTGAAACAAAACGGGCCGTGTTTATGAAGCACGTATCACAATGAAAATCCCAAACTGACACAGTATTCCATTGCTGACGGGGAAAATGCTACTTTAAACAGCATCGACTGTTGGGACACATTGGATAAAGCTTACCAGGCTTTCAGTCATTTTTTTTAAATTCCATTTTGGAATTAAGTGAGTCACAATAATCAGGGGAAGGAAGAACACTGGGCTTTTGTTAACTCTCAAGATTATTCAATCAAAATAGACTTTCACCATCCACACCCTAAAAAAGACAGAATACTTAAGGTAAAATGCCAGTTTTTTTTTTTTTCTTTCTGGAAAATCTATTAACATTGAATGATCTTGGCCTTGACCTACTTTTAAAAATGAGAAGAATGGAGGTGAGATTCAGATGGTACTCTCACTGTGTGCTGGGATTGGCAGGCAGGGATGTGTGCGTGCTAGGCAAGCGCTCACCTACCGAGCTACATCCCCAGACCACTTAGTGTTCTTAACACGCCAGCCCCAAGACTTTCCAGCGCTTCTAGATGCCGCACCATCTCCTTCCCTTTGAGGACGGCAGCGGGACTAGAACCTGGAGGAGTGAGGGAGAAGCGACAGGCAAGTTTTTCTGCAGTCAGGCACGCTTGAGCTATTCGAGTCAAGAAAACTATATAGGCGCCGCCTATGCGTGAATGTGTGGTTCTGCATTCACTGTCAGAAGCCCCAAATCTCAACCACACTGGGGCCGGCGATAAGCCAAAGGTAGACCTATCTGGGAAGGACTGTGTCTTCCTACAGAGACGTTCCGGGCGGCCAGGGGACCTCCTTCCTAGCGCAGGGTCGTCTGCACGTTCAGCTGCCCGGGGTACAGAGCTGGAAACTCTCCCAGCGCATTTCTGCTGGGAGCTTGCCAAGCCCTTTGGGGAACCGTCTGCAGCGCTTAATCTGGGGAAATGAGTTTTGCACTTTCACAGAGTGTGAAATTCCTCAGGGGCATTCTTTTACTCGGAAAGAGAAATCAAACCCAGCTCTTTCCTTCAGGGTCCTTGCCGTTAAGGAAGTAAACCCAATACAGTTCAGCCGGTCCTGCCCGCGGCGGGCCGTGGGTGGGGGCGGGAGCAAGAGTCCCTCGGATGGCACCCTGCCCCGCGAGCTTGAGATTTTGGGGGTTTGTGTTGCTGGCTGTATACACAGGGAGGGACAGTTAACGCGCCTAAGCCACCAAGGAGGAGCTCAAAGCCTCGCTATCTTCCTAGAAACCTTTGGCGGCCCGGGCCGCTGCTTGCTGTCTGATGCAACAGTTTGCAACGCGGTTCTGGGAGTGGAGGCCTGCGGTGTCGCACACGAGCCCGCCGACGCGCATGCGCAGGCTGCGCTCTGCCCCGCCCCGCGGCGGGAAGCTTTTCTCCAGATGTGCTGGGCGGGGAATAGGGGCGGAGCCAGAGGCTCGGAGACCTTTGGCAGCTGCGCTTGTGATCTGAGCTGAATTAGACTTCTCCTGAGGTATTGGCTGACTAACCCAGTGATCCAAAAAAAAAAAAAAAAAAAAAAAAATCACAGGGGCCGAAATCGCCCCAAACGTGCCTGGAGAGAGAAATTGAAGAGTTGGCCTCCCTTCCCGATCCTCCCGATCTCTGATGCTGTACCTCTCATCTTTGCCCTGAACGTTTTCTTTGCGGGAGGGAACATGTCACGTCAATATGTTCACAAAAACTGCAGATATCACGATTGTCTCCCATATCCACATTCGCCCTGTATTATAGATTTTAATTGACTTTTATTTTATTAACTGTTTCTCTAAATTAACTTTAAATCGATTCCCTTTTTTATGTATCCTTGCCCTAAGCGATAACATTAGAGAAACCAGAGCCTGAAAATAAACTCAGAACTATTCAAATAAAAAATGTTTTTGTGTTAGCTAAAATTGGCTTACCTACCACATTGAGGGTGTCTAGAGGTAATAATAACCATTGTACTAAGGTTTTGACAACGTTTCCAGGACTGTTCTAAGCACTGTATACATTCTATTGCCTCATGATGCCCTAGGAAGTGGTTGTTTTCTACATCATTACAGAGAAGAAAAGGGAGGCCCAGAGGAGTTAAGCAATTTGCCTGAGATCACAGAGCCAGGGGGCAAACTCCATCAGCCTGATTCCAGGGCCTCCCTTCAAAAGCTCAATGCTAGAAGAACCCCAGGATTTCTCCAAATCACACCCTTCTTTCAAAACCAGGGTCTGTGTGAAGGCCTCCGGGGATCTAGTGTCAGGGAATCCAGGCAGGAGGGAAGAGGGAGGAGGCTCACCTCAGCTGTGAGCAGAGGCTTTTGTTGCCTTAACTGCAGAATGGTCATAGCAATAGCTTCTTTCTTTCTTTTTAAAGATCACCTACTTAATCATACCCCACACCATTTTGCTTGTTTTTATGTCATGTATATGAGTGTTTTATCTGCATGCGTTACCTGTGCGTCATTCGTGTGCCCTGAGGCCAGAAGAGGGCATCTTATTCCCAAGAACTAGAGCTGCATATGGTTGCAAACTGCTCTATGGGTGCTGGGAATTGAACCCAGGTCCTCTGGAAGAGCAACCAGTGTTCTTAACAACTGAGCCATCTCTCCAGCCCCAGTAACAGTCCTTCCCACACCTTTTTGTTGTTTTGTTTTGAAGACAGGGTTTCCCTGTGTAGCCCCCAATTGTCCTGGAACTAGCCTTGTAGACCAGGCTGGCCTTGAACTCACAGAGATCCCCCTGCCTCTGCCTCCTGAGTGCCGGGATTAAAGGTGGGAGCCACGGTCTCCCAGCGTTCCTCCCACACTTTTGATCTGGCCAACCAGTACTCACTTCCCAGCCTAGAAGACTCTTCTTTAATGGGCTTCCTTTCTTCTAAGGTGAGGTGGGTTTCGGACTCCACCCTCGGTGTGTTCTGGCTTGGCATCTGTGTGGATTAGGGCCGTTAATAGCACTGTACTGCAATGACCTGCTTGCCCACTGGACCAAAAGCTCCCGGAGCACACAGCCTGTGCCCACTTGCCACTGCGTCTCCAATACCTCCCTCTCTCAGAACCAGGGACAAGAGAAATCATATTGAACCAGTGAGCAGAGTGAGTCCTGGAGAGAGGAAGGCCCTTCCCTCCCAGTCCCAGATGATGGAAACATCCCCCATGGAACACAGGACATTGCCTGTCTGAGGCTCCTTCCCCAGGTACTCTGGCTCCAGAAAACCAGTGGGCTGGCTCTGACACTTAAGAGGCGGAAATGATAACAAGGGCAAGGATTCCAGCACTGGAGTCTCTCAGAGAGACGCCCTCCGCCTCAGTTCTCCAGTGCCCTCGCCACCGCCGTGCTCCTGAAAGATCAAGTCCGCGTGTCCCCTCAGCCCCGCCCATCTCAGTAAGTGAGGAAATGGAGAGCCAGCGATGCTAAGCGGCCATGGGAAGTCCACCCAGGGATTTAAACTGTCTGGAATTAGACTCCAGAAATAAACTTTTAACAAATATGTAAACTATCCCCACCTCTTTTTCTAGAATTTACCTCACATGGCCTGCTCCCCCACCCCACCTCCTTGGAAATCCCACAGGGGCTTCCAGTTCGTCCCCACTCATCCCTACAAATACCCCTACTCCACCTGGCAAGGGTGGGACAAGGTTATCTACCTGTGCTTTTTCATTTTCCTGTCTGAACCAAAGTACTCCACAAATCTATAATTCCCCCGCAAGGATCCTCTCTCTCTCTCTCTCTCTCTCTCTCTCTCTCTCTCTCTCTCTCTCTCTCTCTCTCCCTCTGTGTGTGTGTGTGTGTGTGCTCGTGCGCATGTACGTGTGCGTGCAATGCTTGCATGTATGCTCAATGCTTGCATGTACATGGGTGTGCATGTGGAAACCAGAGGTTAACATCAGGTGTCTGCCTCAGTTGCTCAATCACTCTCCACTTTTTTCTCTTTTTCTCTCTTTCTTTCTTTTTTTCTTTGAGATGGGGTCTCAAATTGAGCCTGGAGCAGGCTGGAGAGATGACTCAGAGGTTAAGAGCACTGGCTGCTCTTCCAAAGGACCCCGGTTCAATTCCCAGCACCCACTTGGCAGCTCACAACTGTCTGTAACTCCAATTCCAGGGGATCTGACATCCTCACACAGACATACATGCAGGCAAAAATCTCAATGTACATAATAAGTAAATAAGTCTTTTTTAAAAATTGAACCTGGAGCTTGCCGTTTTGGCTAGAGTAGTGAACCTGGAGCTTGCCGTTTTGGCTAGAGTAGCTGACCGGCAAGGCCCCAGGATCTGCCTACTTTTTGTTTGTTTGTTTGTTTGTTTTTTCTGAGACAGGGTTTCTCTGTGTAGCTTTGGTGCCTGTCCTGGATCTTGCTCTGTAGCCCAGGCTGGCCTCGAACTCACAGAAATCCGCCTGCCTCTGCCTCCCGAGTGCTGGGATCAAAGGTGTGCGCCACCACCACCCGGCCTGCCTGTTCCTATACCCTAGATCTGGGGTCACAATTGCATTCCTCCACGTTCTGAGTTTTACTAGTGCTGGGTAGCCAGACTAGGTCCTCATGCTGCACAGTAAGCACCTTACCCAGGGAGCCATCTTCCAGCCCTTCTCTCCTCTCCTCCATTGGCCATGTAATCACCCAGAAATTCCACTTACCAGCCTGGAAACTACATATCCCAGAATGCCGTTCTCTTCTGGACGGAGAGCAAAAATCCTATGTCAACCATGTGTCTCCTATTTTGGGGTTGGAAAATTTGGTCACTAGCTTGGATAAAGATTGGTATGCCCATAGTCTTAATTCTTCTGGCCCCAGGCAGACATGGATTTCCCAGGCCTCAGAGATTGGGGGGCGGGGGGGATAAGTTATTACAGCAAACAGAACCTTCAATTAGAAGCATGCATGAAGACTTGGCATGCAGCTTCTGGAAGAGTGAGGGAGGACCCCTGTCCAGGAGGCCTATTTTCTCTCCGCAGCAGCCCTTACCACTTGCTTTCTTCCAGATTCTTCTCTTAATTGTACCAGTGAGCCACTCCCTTGTCCTCTTTCCCACCCCCATACCCACACCCATGCTTTAACCATTTCGTATAAAATCCAGCCCACCAGACTGAGGTTTCCTTCCACCCAAATGTTATTTTCAGAAGGAGCCATTGAGGTTGGTGAGTAATTGCAGCGTTGGACCTCTGCGAGCCAAGCTGAAAATAATCAGCAAGGCAGATGGGGTGGGAAGAAAGTGGTACCCTTCCACTAAAGAGTGGGAGAAATCCAAACGGGGTGAGTCAGAGAGAGGCGAGCGCCAGGCTGGGCCGGCTGGGCTGATGGCCTGGAGTTCAGTTAAGGGGAAACCGCCCAAGGTGGGCCCTTTGACTGAGGCTCCATCCAAGGTGGTTCCTGGCTGCACATCACAAGTCCGTATTTCTTGTGACAGACACTATGCTTCTGCTCTTACTCACTCGGGCCGTCACAGCCAGCAGGCCACATTGGAACTCGACTGTGCCAGCTGACTTGCCGGTCTCTCCAGCCAGGCTTCTCAGCTTCAACACTGTTGACACGTTGGGCTGGATCACTCTTTGTGGGGAGCTGCCCGGGCCTGGAAGGGTGCTCAGTAGCATCCCTAGTCACTCCTCCCTTGAGGCCAGTGGCATGCACACACTCAGTCAGGACAACCAAAGATGGCCAGTGTGACACTGGTTCAAAACCACTGCTCTAGTGGGCCTGGATCTAAACTACTGGTGAACTCTTATTTCCCGGCGGCGCAGCTGTGGATGCCCCAAGCCGAGTGTGAATACCCACCGGGTGCTAGGCAGGCTCTGTTCTCTGTTCTGCTACTAGAGCAGGAAGCAGGGCAGACGCGGGTCCTGCCCTCGGGGAAATGACAGACCTTCTGGGACAGCAGTCGCTTTCAGTGAGACATATGGAAAAGAGAGACAAGACTCTAGAAAAGGGTTCTGACCCAGATTATGGGAATCAAACGAGGCTCTTGGAGAACATGAGGACTTAGCCAGCTGGAGATTGGGGGAGGGGGCTCTGCAGAACAGAGAGAGAGTGTCCAGATGCCTTGAGAGTCTGCAGCAGGCTGGGCTCTGGGCAGTAGGGCAGCGTCTTCTCCCCTCATCCCCCAAACTTTCACTTCCTGTGCTCTTTTTTTTCTGCGTTCCCAGCACAGACATGTAAACTCAGGATCGTATTTAACCACCTTTCAACCACTGCCCCCTCGTCCTCGTTCAACCCTCCTCAGTCAACCGGTTACCAGGCTGTACCATTCTACCAGCTCGCGGCCTCCATTCCCACCAACCCCCTGATGTGATGTAGGCTGTCTTCTTACTCACTCAGATTCATGAAATAGCTTCCTAACGAGTCATTCTCCAGTCCCTACCTCAGAAAAAGACATCAATCTGATCACACCTCCCCTGTCTTGACCTTCTTGACTTCCAAAGTCTGTCACACAGCTTGCCTTTCTCCGGGGACTTCTGGGTGCTCTTCCTTGACCTATCCCAACAGGCCTCTAGCTTGCTGCTCTCTGGCTACACAAGACCGCTAGTCACACCCTGAGAACCTCCACACCGCTATAGTCTCCTTCTCTGTCTAAATCCCCTTCCCTACCAAGCGTTTGTGAAATTCTCACAAACCAATTAAGACCCAGCTGAAACACACTCTCAGCGCTCTCCTCCCTCCCTGAAGACCCTTCTCTCAGTTTTTCCATCTGCTTCCCCTGGGCTTTATATGGCTCTTCTATGGCTACTATGTGACCATTTGTCACGTTGGCCCATCGTTAGCTGTTTAAATCTGTCCCTTCCTCCATGGTCTGAGGACCTCACAGGCAGGTAATGAAGTAAACTGTGCTGGGTGACTGACTATAACCAATGCACGTTCCTCCTTTCAGTTCCCCCAGGGAGTCGAGGAAATGCAAAGCTCGTTGTGTAACTTCAAATAGCAGCTCAGCTGTTGCAAGAAGCGAAAGCCTGAGCCTCTGCAGAGATGACCCGGATGCAGCTCCAGCATGGGCTCACCACCCTTCCAAGAGTCGACCCAGAAACTCAGGCTTGAATTCCTGTGCAACAGACTTCCTTGATCCACAAATATCCATTCTCCCCTTCTTTAAGAGTAAAACTGGGGGCTAGAGATACTTCTCAGTGGTTAGAGCACCGGCTGCTCTTCCAAAGGATCTGGGTTCAGTTTTCCGCACCCTCGCAGCAGCTTGCAACTGTGTACAACCCCAGTTCTAGGGAATTTGACACCCTCTTCGGACCTCCTTTGGTACAAGGTACACAAAGTGCACACACACACACACACACACACACACACACACACACACACACAGGCAAAACATACATGTACATAAAATTAAATTTAAAAAAGAGTAAAA